AACATACATGTAATGTTGAATATACATTGAACAAAATCATACCAACTATTCACTGAATTAGTGAGGGTTTATATTTTTCAGTTATTGATATTTAAAACTGTTATTATTCAGTTTCTTTTGCCATAGATACACCAAGAAACAAGTTTCCTTCTTATGAAGAATTGATACATGAATGTATTTGTATTCCAATATTCATATTTACATATCTTAACTAAGACTGATCAGTAGGATTGCTGAATATTAACAATGAAATATTACAAACTCTTACATATAACTTTGTAATCAATGAAAATATTGATGGCTATTTGTATCCAATCGTTCAATAGATAATATATTGAGTACTTAACAAGGAAAGTACTGGATTCTAGTTTCATTACAAAAAACAAGAAAAAACACTTGGTTTTAAGGTACATCTAGCTAAAGATGCGATAATAAAACACGTATCCAAAGTCCCATTACTCCCAACATACCGAATATACTGGTACATGTTTACTCAATTGTTTCAATCCTTATTCAACTAATAATCAACAACTTTTTCAGCGAGGTTGTAATTTATGGACGAATCAATAAGGTATAGATTAACAGGTCTTGGATTTTGAAGCGAATTTACTCATTCATTTGGATAAACAGATTCATTGACATTATAGCTGATATCAGTTCATAATGAAAACCTTCAATCATCAACTGTAAATCATAATTCTAATTCTTTACATTGGTTCATAACTCTCACTTGGTCCTAGTTATTAAGTAAACACCCTCAAGGACAATCTAACATCGGTCAGTCAAGTCAGTCAGTAACAACGTAGAACTTCGTACGTGCGTACATCAGTTCGAGTCGCCAAACCACGTTAGCACAGAGATGCAGTTTTCGATTCAAATCCCGTAGTGGTAGAGGCGGTAAGAGTATAAGCAGTAATCAGAAAGATTAGGGTTTGAAGATGTTATTCAAGGAGTATAATACAGTGAAATAAATTTGGGGAGAAAAAAAGGGACATGAAGAATCCAGAAGATTAGAGTTTGGGAGAACACAAAGAGTGTATGCACCTGCGCCATTGCAAACGATTTTGAGCCATGTCATTCAGGGTCTCTAACCATCGGTTGCTCTCATCTGGCGGTCCCCAAACAATTAGTCTACATCTATCAACATGGCTCAGTCCACTTGTCAGTAACTTCATGAACTTGTGCTATACTTTGATCTGGCCGCCCATAGCTTTCTTTCAACCTACTCCTATGCCACTGAACATCGCACGTCGAGGAAGTCGGTGGTTGAGCATACGTAACACGTGTCCCAGCCATCTCGACTGATGAAGTTTCACTACTTCATCAATTCATTTGCCATCCTTACTTAGTACCCGTTTCCTAACAAGTGCGTTACTTACTCGATGGTCCCAGGATACACGAGCAATGTTTCGACGACACCTATGATCAAATACTAGTAGCCTACGAATATCCTCTACTCTTACCGGCCATGTTTCACTGCCATAAAGTAGGACGAAACGAACTGCTGCACAGTAAACCCGTCCTTTGTTTGATGGATGAATGTTTCACCTACACCATAAATGACGCAAGTTAGCAAGAGCTAGTCGAACCCTCTGTTTCCGTGATGAGATTTCGTCACACACTAGACCACAAGGACTGATGATTATTCCAAGATAAGTGAGACAGTCGATACGCTCAACTACTTGACTCCCTATCATTCGTTCGAGTGTCAACGCAACCCAATCCTGAAGCAACATTTCGCATTTCGAGGAGGAGAATCACATCCCGAACAGTCTAGCATCACTTGAAGATTCTCTTTCGAAATTTTAGTCTCATCACTTTTTCACATATTCAAATCTACTAACATACTTCAATTTTAATATTAGAAAATGAAAATAATCAATACTTTATTCCAATATCAATGAATCATTATAATGAGTTGACCATAAATAAGATATCGAAATACTTTGGGTATAATTATTGATTACTTTTTCACTCTCACTCTCTCTCTCTCTCTATTTCTTTTTTATCCTCATTTCATAATGAATCCATTTTAGAATTCATTCATACAATACCATATATGAAACAGAAAAAATTTATTTATTTTTTTTTCTTTGAAAAACAAATTAGTTTTTTTTCTCTCATAAAAGTTTTTTTTTTAAAAAAAAAAAGAAGAGAAAGAGGTCACTTGTAAAATTGTTTAATCAAAGTGGAAAAGACAAAAATGACCTCTCTTTACCTCCCTCTTTCCATCTCTTTGTCTCTCTCTTCGTCCCTCTCTTCGTCAATCTACTTAGCTCCCTCCCCCTCCCTCTCTCTCGACATGTATATATATTAATATTGGTAAAATTGCCGAGCATTATTTCCCTGTTTTTTTTCACTTTATATCTCTATTTTAACATGATAAACATTAGTAACTAACTAGAAGGAATCATTTTGAAAGAATACTGTCCACATTTTATTGATTTTGTTATAAAATAGAAATATTATTTATTGATTTATTTGTTTATGAATATTTTATATTGAATTCATTAAATATTCTTATTAAGATATTAAAAAAGACAAGATGAGTTAAGAATGATTGTTGTCAATCGTTGAATTCATGAATCAATTGAAGATAGAACACTATGGAAAAGCTGGAAGCAATGGACAATCATTTCGTCCGATTATAGGACACCTCAGTAGTGTGCATCCACTATCTTGATTCACAAGATTCCAATCCAGGACCTATCAATCCTGACGCTTAACCACTAGATCACTGAGCTTGTCGGTATCCAACGGTGTTAATGCTCAACTTCAACTAATCCACGAAATTGAGCAACACATCCACCATTGTTATCAGTGAGTTACTATCTCACAAGAGATCCGGTTGAACTACACTGGCCACTGGTTATTTTTTCTCTAATTAATTCTTCATCAGAACTCTACATTAATAATATATGTTTTATAAGTGAATAAGAAGCCAATACCAATTAAATGGTGGTGAGTCCAAAATTAATTATTCTAATAAATATTAACTATGATCTATGTATTTCATAATTGCACATATGTAATCATCAATTATTGATAATCATGATTATTGAACTTGTTCATTTCATTGTATATACTTTATTTAATCGATAGGTTATCACTATGCACACTTCATAATATCCTTCATTTGAACTAATTAGTAAGTTGAAATGGTTGTCAACAGTTAACATGTTACTACTGTTTTTACTTCTGAACTTAATAATGTTTCGCGAGCGAACACTCAACTGAAGATTCTGGGTTCGAATCTAGCGAGGCGGGATCATGGATGCGCACTGCTGCTGAGGAGTCTCACAATAGGAAGAAACGACTGTTCAGTGCTTACAGGTTTTCAATAGTGTTATGACATCAAGAGGTTCTTAATCAAAAACATAATAATATTATTACTACTGATACTAATTACACTGTTTTTACTTGATATTATATGTTCAGTATAATATAGAATTCTAAGCATACAATGTCACCACAAGTTTTTCTAACTTATTACAGATCACAAATAATAACCATAAGAGTATAAATCATCTAAAATTAAATGAAATATCTCTGAAAAAAAGTTACGCATTTATATGATTGTGAATTGAGAACATGTTCATAAGTATAAGTTTTAGGCTACATCAGCTCTTATAACGTGTTTGTCGTATAAGATATTTCGCTAGATACAGTATTGTAAAAGTTCCCGTATTTTTGGTTCACCAACACGGATTCTAATGTATTAAGATTTCGCTCTACCGGAATGATCAAAAACGTTGCAGCGGTAAATAAATCCCCAAAATAAATAGCTCTGTAAGTTTTCGACATTCGATGCTGACCACATGTTTTAATGGACTCACCTAGCTGAAGGCGCTCGGTCATGCATCCGCACCAGATCACGAGTGGGAACGCCGTGCTCAACAACCCTTGCAATCGCTAGCCAGATTAGATCAGACGATTTTCGATATATTTGGCATATCAAATATATCTTCGAATTTCCTCGCTTCTGTCTTTTGATTTCACTTGTGGGTATGCTTCATGTGAGGTGTTACTGGTTAAAGCGTTGTCAAACTCTGAAGACCTGTGACATCTTCAACGTGTAGATAATGTATATCATTTACTTTCACAGATCACATTTTTGTAGTCATAATATACTGCTACTCAGTGTATTCATTCGTTGATTAGGAAACAGACATCTCTTTTACATTACAATTGACATAAGTTGACAATGTCATATGAAAATATCTGTATCCTCCCTGAAACTTAGTTGAATAACAGGGTTAATGAGATTTCTACCATAAATGATGTGAATAATATCGTTTAGCTTAAAAAAAAACATAATCGTCACCTATCTTAGGGACTGATACTTTACTGATTATTTGAATCAAGTTGTTTATTAATCATCTACATTGTTGAAATAATTACTTGATTTCATAGTTCTATAGCGTGGTGTCGAGTCACGGTTGACTATGAACACAACTACAAGAAAAGTACGTGCCAGTTAACCGATAAAATCCCCCGTAAGCCAAATATCAGAAGGCAGTTGATGGCTGTAGTCGAGATGTATTTGTTGGCGATCTCGTGGTATCGAAAGGATACCGAGATCGTGCCAAAGGAGGACAAGCGTGGTTACCGAGCGTAACCGAACCCGTGCAAGGTCACAATCAATGGAGTAGTAATAATATGGCTGTCTTTAGCACAGTTAAACAAACGAGCGCAGTAAAACAATCACTGGTAGAATTGGTTATAATAATGATTGTTTCCATTTAACCAATCGCGTTCTCTTGATAAGAGTAGGTCACTACAGTTTCATTCAATGATATCACCACAATATACAGTAACTCAACTGTTAGTTTTACTAATTAAAACAGATTAACCTATAGCATTTTGTTTCTTCTGAACTGGACATTTCACAAGAATTATATATAGAGAGAGGATATAAATGAAGTTCAATATGAAAATTATAATAATATTAGCTAATAACGAATGACCTGTTAAACTCATATTCTTTATAATTATGTTCAATGATTCATGTTTGCGTATCATTATCACTGGAAAACGGTAAATTATATTCTGATCTTTCTGTTTATGTTAATAATCCCACTTTGATAAATAATCACCCTATGACTGTTTTGTTGTGTAAATTCAGAATCCGACTATTACATCATAAGTATACACATCAAAAAACCAAACCTTTGTATATGTAGCCTATGAATCCATCTTGACCTTCTACTTAGATACTTTTACATGTTTCAAAACCTTGCTTTCTCTTCCCTTAAATACATTTTCGGAAATACGATTTTATTAACATTCTAATTTCGACCTAAATAGGATGAAACGCTCATCCTGGATTACACTGTTAGCCACTATCCATCTTTGCTTAGAATGCTTGTGAATTAAGGCAATATCGAGGCAATATGCACATATACCAACAAGAAACTGATCAATTACAGTCCTAAACATTAATGAGAACACATTCAAGTAAACAATACCAAATGGAGCTAACTAGAAAGTATTAAAATTTCTGCTTTACATATATCCAGTGAATAAAAATTAAGTTTCAAATATATATGTGCAAATCAGTAAAGTGATCAAACCATATTATAACCAAATTATTCTCATTTAAAACATGACGATTGTTCAGTTTAACGATAGTTTAAATTAAAGTCCCTTCGATCATAGGAAAACAGGATGAGATCAGACCACTTTTAGTTCTAATATCTGTTATGTAATGACAATCTTAATAGAGATTGAAACTAAGATATATAAACCTTAAGTTGAATACTTGTGAAAGTTTATTTAAAGATCAATCTAAATATTCTACAACTATCATTGATTTTAAACACTTTCCTAGTAATATTATGGTATGGACAGATATAATTAGTATGTAAGTTGGATGGGAAATTGAAATGCTTGCCAGAAGAAGCTTGAAATATATAGAAAATATAAGAAAATAGAGAGCGATTGGTATAACAACAGGATTATAAGAATGATGATGTATGTATATGACGAATGAAGGAAAATATGCAAATGATTTATTCAAAGTATGATTTCCTTATTTTAACAGGCTACTGTTTGATTTGGAGTAAATTAATAAACTGGATTACCACACTTGAGTTTCAGTTCAATATACTACTACTACTACTACTACTACTACTACTACTACTACTACTACTACTACTACTACTACTACTACTACTACTACTACTACTACTACTACTACTACTACTACTACTACTACTACTACTACTACTACTACTACTACTACTACTACTACTACTACTACTACTACTACTACTACTACTACTACTACTACTACTACTACTACTACTACTACTACTACTACTACTACTACTACTACTACTACTACTACTACTACTACTACTACTACTACTACTACTACTACTACTACTACTACTACTACTACTACTACTACTACTACTACTACTACTACTACTACTACTACTACTACTACTACTACTACTACTACTACTACTACTACTACTACTACTACTACTACTACTACTACTACTACTACTACTACTACTACTACTACTACTACTACTACTACTACTACTACTACTACTACTACTACTACTACTACTACTACTACTACTACTACTACTACTACTACTACTACTACTACTACTACTACTACTACTACTACTACTACTACTACTACTACTACTACTACTACTACTACTACTACTACTACTACTACTACTACTACTACTACTACTACTACTACTACTACTACTACTACTACTACTACTACTACTACTACTACTACTACTACTACTACTACTACTACTACTACTACTACTACTACTACTACTACTACTACTACTACTACTACTACTACTACTACTACTACTACTACTACTACTACTACTACTACTACTACTACTACTACTACTACTACTACTACTACTACTACTACTACTACTACTACTACTACTACTACTACTACTACTACTACTACTACTACTACTACTACTACTACTACTACTACTACTACTACTACTACTACTACTACTACTACTACTACTACTACTACTACTACTACTACTACTACTACTACTACTACTACTACTACTACTACTACTACTACTACTACTACTACTACTACTACTACTACTACTACTACTACTACTACTACTACTACTACTACTACTACTACTACTACTACTACTACTACTACTACTACTACTACTACTACTACTACTACTACTACTACTACTACTACTACTACTACTACTACTACTACTACTACTACTACTACTACTACTACTACTACTACTACTACTACTACTACTACTACTACTACTACTACTACTACTACTACTACTACTACTACTACTACTACTACTACTACTACTACTACTACTACTACTACTACTACTACTACTACTACTACTACTACTACTACTACTACTACTACTACTACTACTACTACTACTACTACTACTACTACTACTAGTTCTCTTAATTCGACCTCAATTGACTTACATATTTCATACTTCGTATTGTACCAAGACAGTGTTTGATTTTTCACAAAACAATTAATTAGTTTACCATACCTGAATTTTTCTTCATCATAATATTATCACTCGCATGAAAATATTTGCTTCATTATGAATTGATAATACATGGAACTTTAAATAGTTTATTTTTTCGGAATCGCCGCATTATCTTTGGTTATGCTTCGGTATTTAAGAAAAAGATTTGAGTTTGCATGAAAAAACGATATTATAATTTATTGTTGTGTGGTCACAAGAGACAATATCTGATCAATTCATCCATGAAATATATACTACACGAGGCTAAGGTATGTTTCAACATTAAGGGTTTCACTTTAGATCTTAAGAATAATATGTGTTTTTATGTTGCACATAAATTATAGAAAATAAACTGAACATCAAACACATTTGAGATAATCACTTTTACACCAGGTTGCTATAAAGTAGTTTTTTTTCTCTAGCATTTAAAACATTTTAAACAGCAGACAGTATTACTTCTATCATTCATTTCCTCGTTATAGATCAAGTATTCCGTTCACAATTCTGATTGACTCGTCTTTACAGCAAACTTACTTACTAACTAACTAACTAACTTACTTATTTACTTAATTACTTACACCTGTTACTCCTCGTGAAGGACCATAGGCTGCTCACCAGTATTCTCCATCCAAACCTGTTCTGGGCAATTCTTTCCAGCTCTTTCGAGTTGCTATTCATCCTTTTCATAACTGATTCTAATTCCTGACGTAATGTGTTGTCTGGCCTTCCACTTTTCCGCTTCCCTTCAGGATTCTATTTTAGGGTTTGTCTCGTGATGCAGTTTAATGATTTGTGTAATGTATGTCCTATCCATTTCCATCGTCTTTTCCTAATTTCCTCTTCAGATGGAAGCTGATTGTTTCTCTGCTGCAGTAGGCTGTTGCTGATGGTATCCGGTCAATGGATGTTGAGTATCTTGCGTAGACACCTATTCATAAGTACTTGTGCCTTCTTGATGATGCTTGTTGTTGTAGTTCTCCAAGTGGAGAAGATTTGTAGCTCAGGTGGATGATTTTGGTGGAGTTTTGTTCTTTGAGCTGGATGGTTTGGTCGTTGAAAGCTCCACAACCAAACCATCCAGCTCAGAGAACAAAACTCCATCAAAAAGTTCTCCAAGTTTCAGCTCCGAACAATAGAACTGCCTTTACACTATACTTTAAACCAAAAAACAAAAAAACAACAATCATTCATGTTTTGAATTGAGTTTTCCCAATTGTAACTGACCTCTTAACTAAGAAAGATTTCTATCTAATCATAAAAAGTCTCGGGTACATTATGAAAACAAACCATTAAATGAGAGTATACAGTTTAAATTATGCAAATAACTTTCAACCTAAAGACTAAACAAACGTTGTCGTTGTTGTTTCAGTTGTTGTTTTATTTAATTTTTTTAATGGAAAAAAACTTTTTTTCCCTTCTTTCGTTAAATCGTTTTTATTTATCGCATTGATTTGATCAATTCAAATGGAAAAATTTGTTGATGACAAACCATTTTTGTTGCTGTTGTTGTCCTTGTCGTTGTTGTTGATGCTGTCGTTGTTGTTCTGCTTCTGCTTCTTCATGTTCTTCTTCTTCTTGTTCCTTTGAAAAATGATATGAGATTTGAAAATAATAAAATTAGATAATCAAAAAGGGAATGAGTGATGATTTTATACATTTGAAACAAAAGATAATGATTATCATCATTTTACTATATGGATTTAAAAAAGGGAAATTTAATTTACATGAAATAATAATTGTTATACTAGTGCAGAGAATAGGGAGGTAGGGGGGAGAAGGAATGTGAAAGTTGTTGAATGGTATCGAGATTGTAAAACGTCAGACAAACTATGAAATCTAGAAAGTACTTAACAATGTACTCATCCTTGAGTGAGATTTTAAAGTATTGAACATGGAGGACAAAACTACAGAGGGTTAAACACAGGAAATGTAATCTGGCGATTAAAGATCGATATTTATACAAATGAGTTGGTATCCAATACCAAATAACTGCCAATAATATGTAGCTACATAACTAAAACATTGAGAGTAGTTTCCTTTACCCCTTATACGATCTAAATCTAACAGTTATCAATTCACACTCACCATAACTTCATCTCATAAACAGATATAATTCAAAAAACGAAGTGTATACTTCACTAAATATTTCATTTCAAACACTTACAGTTATTTGGAAGAAACTGCTGTGTGTTTGGTAGAATGATTTGAATCATTCTGTGAAATTCAAACATATCCCACTCTTATTTGGCGATTCTTGTTATTTCTATATGGACATTCATATCAGGACTAGTATAGTCAACATGGTTATCACTACACTGCTGAATGTGTTTTGACATATATCTCCAAGGTTATCCATTCACAAATATATTTCATTCAAACAGTGTAATTATTCTTTTGATTACTGAATGTGAAGTAGTAAACGATGGGTTCTTTTGAACAGTATTTCAAATTTGTTATATCGTCTGATAAATACAGGTGAATATACATAATCTGACATTTATATGAGTTGAATCTTACGAGGGAAATAACTTTTATAAGATTACGGGTAAGCTCTTCTGACTCTATGAATCTTGCACAAAACCTACTTCCAAGCTTTCCTTTTAAATACCTAACAACTGAGAATACTGGTTATTCTTAGTAGTTGTACTGAAACTACTGGTTATTAATTGTCATCAGTTGTCTCCAAATCATTTTTCTTTCTCACTTATTCCACATTCTTCTCAATAATTTAACAAGTGATTGCCACTTTTTTCATAATCTTTATTTAGTAGACTAAAGGAAAGCAAATATTCAACATTCTTATATTATATATTGTTTTCATTCATCTCCTTATCACGTACTTACTCTGGATAAATTGACTTATTTAACCTTCCATTACCATTTCATTACTCTTATATTTTGTGACTGTGTAAACTTTGTCACTCTGATTGACTTTATTTCTATTTCTTGTTTGTTGTGATTTATTCACACTTACTCACTTACTCACTCACTCAATCACTCACTCACTAACTCACTTATTCAATGACTACTTCTCACTTGCTTATTTTTCGTATTCATCAAGTAGGGTTTTTACAGTAGAAAAACTATGAGATTATTGTAATCACATTTACAGACTTTTTTGAAAGAAATAACTAACAGAAAATCTGTGAAAGATAATATAATAAACGATAAAAAGCATCAGATAGATATTATCAAGTCAATCGGTAAGTTACAGTTTATGTATATTTAAGTATGTGGTCATGTTAGCATATATTATGTTTAAATACGATTTAAATAGTTTCAGAATGGGTTTTGTGGAGATTTTTAGAAATTTCACAAGTTGAAATCATGAGTCAATTGAACCAGGTCTGTTGTAGAGGTATCAGCTCACTGAAGACAATGGTGTACGGTGGAGCAACTTTGTGGATTGGTTGAAGTTAGACATTAACATCATTGGATGACGGCCGGCTCAGTGGTCTGTTGGTTAAGTGCTCGCGTGCGAAACCAACAGGTCATGGGTTCGAATCCCGTAGTATGCGGGGTCGTGAATCCGCACTGATGAGGAATCGGCCGTCCAGTGCTTCCAGGTTTTCCGTGGTGTTCCAGCTTCAACCTGTGAAATTTCTAAACGTTTCCACAAAACCCATTGTGATACTAATCAAATGCTCACTAGTGACTGACTTCAGGAGATACTTTTGAAGTTCTAGTGAGAAGCCGTTACCAGTGGAGTTCAACCAGGTCTGTTGTAAGGATATTTAAATATTTACCAATGTTTAATATAGAAATTAGTAGCAGCCTCAGCAGCAATAGGTCTCAGTATACGCAAAAATAAAATCAAAATTCTTCATTACAACACAGCACGCACCAATCCAATCACACTTGATAGAGAAGATCTGGAATATGTAAAAACTTTTATATATCTGATAAACACGGTGGATCTAGTGCAGATATGAATGCGCGTATTGGATAAGCGAGAACAGTATATCTACAATAGATAATCATCTGCAAATCAAAACAACTGTCTGTCAACCAACATCAAAGTCACAATTTTCAATACAAATGTCAAGACAGTTCTACTACGAAAGCCATCATCCAGAACATACAAGTATTTATTTACAGTTGTCTACGCAATATACATCAGATCAATTGGCTAGACACTATCAGCAACAACCTACTGTGGTAGAGAACAAATCACATTTCAGTGGAGAAAGAAATCTGGAAGAAGTGCTAGAAGTGGATTGGATACATATTGAGGAAAGCACCTAAGTGCGTTGCAAGGCAAGCCCTCACATGGAATCCTCAATGGCAAAGGAGGAGAGCAAGAGCAAAGTACACATTACTCCGAGAAATGGAGATAGACATGAGGAGAATGAACAAGAAGTGGATAGAACTAGAAAGTAAATCCCAAGAGAGAGTGGTTTGAAGAATGCTGATCGTCGGCCCATGCTCTACTGGGACTAACAGGCGTAAGGATGTAACGTAGAAATTAGTTTGGGTTGAATGATTATCAGAAACCTGTAACAACTAACAGAATAAACGGTCAAAACGTTTTCCTAATTGATTCAAACTCAATAACATTAATATTGTGTCTGTTAGTTATCACGTAATATATTCGCCAATCATAATACGACTTATTCGCTCTTATTACTGTACTATAAGAATATATAGATAATATTAGTCCATTAAAAGGTCTCAGAATTTACTCATAATTTAATCTTCACTAGGATATAACAATTCCAACCAATGATCATTATATTACTGAAACTGTGATTCATGGTGTCATGTCCCGACAAGAATAATGGATGATAACTTTTGGGATCTATTGATGGACTAATACTAAACGTATATTTCTATTGTAGAATTATTCAGTAACTAAACTATGCATATTCATATTCCTCTTATTATAAGCTTTATTTTGATTAATAAACTATTATTATATGTTTTACCATTCTTGAGTTATACCCAGTATATTAATTACTACCTCCCTCATTCACAGCCACATCTGGCTA